TGTGTAGGTAAGCATGTAGATTTGGCTGGATCAAAGGGAGCTTGCAGGAAGAACTTGTTAGAGAAAATATAAGCAGAAGATTCCCCAACTTTACACCATGTGATGCTGCAGCAAAAAGTCAGCCAACTTAGGGTTTGAGCTTTGCATTTTTGTAATAGAGAGCTATGAAAGGAAAGCTGTATGTTAAAAGGGATTCTTTTAGGAAATTTATTATTATGAAATAGCCTGAATGCCAAAAGGCCAACTGCAGATAGGATTTGGGTGGGCCCAGAAGATTGGGAGATAAGATTAGTTTTGTTTTAGCAGCATCCTCTGTAGAAAAGACAGCATTGGGCCGAAAGACAGAGAACTGGATTCGAATCGTTTTTCTACCAAGTTGATATGACATCAGGCAGATTACTTATTCCAATTTAACTTTTTTCATGTGTAAAAGAAGATTGTATTGAAGGTTGTAAATCCTATCTTCCTTTAAAAAAATTCCATGGTTCTTTGGTGAACTTGAAGTCCTGGAGTTCCACTCGACTTTCGCTCAACAGAATATTTAGGAAGTACTAAATGGAAAATTGGAGTGGAACATGGAGTGTGCTTTTACCAACCTCAATGTAAGTGGGGCAGTCAGAAGTGTAGGCTACAGAATGAGAAGTGCTACATTAAAGGAATAAACAGAATGATGTGGAGCATTATTAATTATCCATAATTATTGTAATTATAAAAACCAGTAGATGGTATAATGGTTACATCACTGGACTCTCACATGGCTGACCACGGTTCGAGTCCCAGACCCGGTGGCTTGAAACTCATGCCAGATGCGTGTGTGTGGGTGCCCAAAATCCTGAGAGGAAAAGGGATTACAGAGTGGCCATCCCCCGTAGAGGACTTCTCACTTTCTGTCTTCCTGTCTCTCTCTGGCTCTCCAGCAAATACACATGCCATATAGTAAAAATCTCTCAAAAAATAAAACATTACTGATGGAATTATTAATTCAGCTTTGAGTTGTGGGACATGAGGCATGGGTCAAAAGAAAAAAATAAGATTTGGGGAGGGCCAGATGATGGCACAGCAGTGAAATGCCTCTGTGAGGCTGAGCCACATGGGAGGGTTCCAGATTCATGTCTAGAGACTTCCCTAAGGATACCAGGCACATCTGTGCCTCTGATCTGGGACCGGCCGAGGCTGGGGATGAATCACAACATCAAGATCCTATTGGGGGTCTCTCTCTTCTCATTCCCTCAAAACAAAAAGTAACATTGGACCAGGACTCAAGGGACCAATAAACCCAATGTTATATAAATAATATCAGTAACACTCTTGGCAAACAAAATGCTTGGAACTTAACAGGTGTTCAATAAATAATACTTACCATATTATTAAAGTCACCATAAAGAGAATGAATACCTCTGTAAGGTTAGGGAGAGTTGTGGCCTGCCCCTACAATAGTAGGTGTCCAGCTGCCTTCATTCAGCTGAAAAAAGGATTTTAGATGATTCTTGTTTAGATGCTTCTCTCCAACCCACAGCTCTCCTCCAAGGTAATGGGATATTACCACCATGTCCAAAAGCAACTTGTAAGTTATGAATTGTTTCTAATGTGATGTTCTTTCTCACAGAACACCTTGTTCTGTAATTATTTTCTTTCTCTTTTTTCCCTTAAGAATTTTGTTTTTCAAAGAGAGAGATTTTTGCTATAGTGTGTGTGCTTGCCAGAGACAGAGAGACAGAAGATAAGAAATCACCCCTCAGGGGGATGGCCATGCCACAGTCTCTTCTTCTGCTTTCTTCTCTTGGGATTTTGCACAGAAACGATCGCATGCCAGGCTTGAGTTTTAGGGCGCTGGATCCAGGACTTAACCCATGGTTGACTACATAGGAGTCCAGTGACATAACCATTAAGCCATCTGCTGGTCATAAAGAGATTTTGCTATAGGGTGCTCACTGGAGAGACAGAGAGATAAAAAGTGAGAAATCACCCTCTGGAGGGAAATGGCCATACTGCAGTTCCTTCTGCTCCATTCTCCTCTCGGGATTTTGGACACACACGCACACAAACCTAGCAAGAGTTTTATGCTGCTGAGTCCGGGACTCAAACCTCTGTTGACTATGTGGAAGTCCAGTGACATGACCATTACGCCATCTACTAGTCCCACCCTTCTCTTTTTTTTGTTATAACTGTCCTTGGAAATAGTGATCACGTTTTATTGGCACTCCTGGGGACATACACATTTGACCCTAATGCAAATTATTCCATAAAATATATAATGAAAAGTTTTTCCAAAAGGACCACCACAAAGCAGACACCAGTTACCACAAGAACATGGTTGCCTCTCTATCTTCTTTTTAGCACTTGTTGCTGTGTGGGTCCTGCCACCCTCTCACTCACAACCCTGAGAGAGGCCTAGAAATGAAAGGAAAGGGACTGAATCCAATCGCAACAAGTATTATCCCAATTATCACTGCTCTTTTCAACCAAATGTTGTGAGCAATAGGGACCTGTCCTTATTTATTAGTGCAGATAGGCAGACCCCAGAACCCCTTATGTCTCCCTAATTTGGGAGTTGCTTTTTCCTGAGTCTTTCAATGGGTCTTGGTGTTATATGTATATTCAACCATGTGTGTGTATCTCCAAGAATTATACAGCATTTGAGTTGCCTAAGAAGTTTCTGAATTGAGTGATTGTGTAACCCAGGTGAGGCAACACCTCTTACCTCTCCACCGCCGCCAACAACACACCTCAGCATAACAGATATAGTAGGAATACCTGTTCATTAACTTTATTTGGTTGATTCTAGGGTACTTCCGTCTGTTTCCTTCCACTCAACAGCTTTCCTCAGTATATCTTCACTTTGCTCCTTCTTTCCTCTGGCTATTTCCAATGTTTTCCAGTTACTGTCTATGAAACTTTCTCTTTCTACCCATAAAGACTAGATTGGTTTACCAAAGGCATTCTTGGCCCAGCCTTAGTTTACCACCATATTTTCCATCGTTAGTCTTCAT